GAAATATAGAAATATTATAAATATGTGTCTATACTTAGATCAGTATATAGTAACATGTTTTCTGGCTCTGTCTGCTGAGGAGATCAAAGGGTGGTGACACTTCAATAGCAAACAGCATACCCAGCACCAACATCATAGCTTCTAAATACCATTTTCCACTTAAAGGATCAGAGCTCCTTGGAGGAACGGCTGAGTCTAGGACTGTAACAGGAAAAATACAAGATAAGCCTGGAGCGTTTTGTATCCATCAAGTACAGAAATGCTCAAATAACAAAAGAATGGCTGCACAACAATGTGAATGTACTTGATACCACTAAGCTTTACACTTAAAAATGCTTAAGATGGTAAATTTTAGGTTATTTGTATTTTAACACACACACAAAAGCCTGTCAAAGGGATGCAGAGGCCAGCCCAAAAGCGGTCCCAATTAGCAAAGCTGAAACAATTTGAACAACAAAATATACGATTTTGCTTTCCTACCAGCATTGAATAACATGGTATTGGATTATAGTCAAAGGATATAATAAAATATACATGAGCCTAATCATTTTATATGAGTAAAATGATTAAATAAATAAATAGGAGAGAAAAGTCAAAATTTCTTATAGAAGAATTCCAGATTATTTCTGTATATTTCCCCCATCTAGGAGGTGGAACTTAAGGGTAAGCTAGACTTAGTAACTTGCTTCTAGGGGAAAGAGAAAAATAGTAACTTCACTATTAAGGCAGATAGCATCTTAACAAAGGGATCAAAGTTAACATCACCAGTAATGTCATGCTATAGTAAATGATGCAATGATGTAATGCTATGATGTAATTAAAAGGGCACTTCACCTCTTGGTCTTGCTCCCCAAATTCCATAAACCAAGTCTAATCATGAAAACAGCATTGCTGTTTTTCAGTTGCTAAGTTGTGTGAGACTCTTTGAGACCCCATGGACTATAGCACTTCAGGTTCCATGTCTTCCACTGTTTCCTGGAGTTTGCTCAAGAAAACATTAGAGACACCAAATGCTTGTATATTTTGCAAAGTACCTGACTAATACTCTTTTTTTTTTTGCTGCACTGGGTCTTAGTTGTGGCATGTGGACTATCATCTTTACTTCAGCATGAAGAATCTTTAGTTGTGGCACTCGGAGTCTTAGTTGCAGCACATGGGATCTAGTTTCATGACCAGGGATCAAACTTGGGCCCCCTGCATTGAGAGTGTGGAGTCTTAGCCACCGGACCACCAGGAGGTCCCTGACCAGTGTTCTTTGAAACTGTCAAAGGCAAAGACCTCATGGAATTTACATTCTAATATGCAAATAAGCATACATTGAGAGAAGGTCTCTGCTTATTTCTTAGCTCCCAGTGCCCAAAGAGAAAATCTATTGACTAAGCTAGTCACTATCAACTGTTGTTTGTTTTTTGGGGGTAGGGAGGTGGGTGGGTGGAGGCAGAGCTTTTCTTAATAGCCATCCCACAGGTTATTGGTTAGTGCAGGTGTTGGTTGCTGATAAGTCAGGGGGTTCCCTCTACTCCAGTTAGCTATGACTGGGGTTCTAAGGCATATAACATGACCCCTCCTGAGGTCTGCTCCCTCAGCAAAACAATCCAGTTCAGGAAAGGGTATAGATGAAGGAGGCCCTGCTATTTGACTATGCAGAGTGGTTGCCCTCCAAATGCCCTAGAGCCAAACTTTCCCAGAGTAGTCTGGAGGCAAAAAATATTAGGCTGTACTAGCCAATATGTTACAAATAACCCTTCTATCATTTACTAGTTATTTATGGAAACTCAGAATTAATGAAACCCAGACTAGACACACAAAATTGCATCTCAGATGCTTTTTCTTCCAGAAAAATAGATTTCATCTTATTTGATTTCTTTTAGTCTGTAGATATTTGCTTTTGTTGGGCTTTATTTTTCTGTTGCCTGTGATGTTTCAAAATACCAACTTGCCTGCAGCAGATTCCTACTTCAACTGAGACTGATTTGGACAATAATCTCCCAAGCGTTTCCTTCTATCATGACATGAATTTATATTAGCTTTGGCAACATCCTTGGGATTTTATTCTTTGCCCTCTGAACATACTTCCCCAAGTAAAAGAGGAAAATGAATGGCACTAGGAAAATAGGAGCAATGGTTATCACATATTCTCAGGTCCAAATCGGGTGAGCCTTGCACCTCACCCTCTACCAGTTGCCACTAGAGAAATAACCCAGGGTTTGATGAGGCACAAACAGGAACAGCAGAGGTAACTTATTAACTGGTCCTGAAAAGGAAAGGTTTGGAAACTCTTCATCACACACATTCAAATCAACGAATATTACTACCATGTTCCCAACACTCAAACAAGAACTGGGAATCTAAAAGGGAAAAATATGATCCTCAGTCTGAGTGAATAGACTATAAATGGTGGAAGACAGTGTTGTGGTGGGGGTGTGATGATGCTACCAGAAATGAAGGGAGTAACTATTCCAGGAACTCAGGACAAGGAGAGAGTCATATTGAATTTAAGGGTAAATAAGTGACATTTGAGATGGGTCTTAAGGGATTAGTTGGAATTTTTTGAAATAGAAAATGTGGAAAACAGCATCTCAGATGTATGGATGAGCTTGAGTAAAGTCAAGAAGGTAAAACACTAAATGGTCTGTATGGGAAATAGCAGGTAGTCACTCGTAGCGCTCAGACACATTATAGCTCTAAGGAAGGGTAGAAGTTGCTCATGGGCTACCTTGGGTCTACAGCCAGGGCTCTGCAAACCATGGCATCATGCTGGACGTCTGGGAAACAAAAATTTTGACCATTGAACACAGCAATGACTTATGAGCTCACCACGAAGAGGATTTTAATTGCCAAGCAGAATAAGAAAATAATCATCAAATCCAGTTCTTATACTTACTCCATTGTGTTAGTTTCATTAATTTGCTGAATTAACTGACAAACACTCTGCAGAATATTAGGAACACATAGCTGATTCCACTACCTTTCCCATCCTTGAGGAGCCTAATAACTGGAGATTTCATTTCTTTATGTATGTACTGGGTTTCCTAAAAACCTGGTATTGGTCTATTGACAGCAAAGAAAGAAACATTATTTTTGATTTTTTAATTTTAAATACTTTTGTTACAAAAGCAGTCCATGAGCATTTTAGAATGTAGAACCAGCCAAAACAAAAAAGCAAACACCTCTGTCACTGCTCAGGGATCACCGCTGTTACCCTTGGTTGGTATCATGCCACATTGTTATATGCATATTATATGTTAACATGTATTTTATTTATAAAAATGTTTTCATATTGTTTATAGGCATATTCTGTCTTATAACCTGTTTTTTTCAGTCATTAATTTCCACTTTTCCATGACAGTAAATGCTTTTCTTCAAACAGTATTCACATTTTCCCAATTAAGCCCAAAATGTCCTTTACAGAAGATTTCTTCAAATCAGCCCCCAACTCAACACCTTTCACTGCATCTCCTGGTTATTTCCTTCATATCTCTTAACCCAGCATAAACCCTTTCTTTTTAAAAAATTTTTTATTACTTTGTTTTGGCTGTGCTGGGTCTTCATTGCTGTGTGCAGGCTTTCTCTAGTTGCTGCGAACAGGGACTACTCTCTAGCTGCAGCGCACAGGCTTATCATTACAGTGGCTTCTGTTCTTGTGGAGCATGGGCTTCTGGAGCATGTGGTCATGGGGGCTTCCGTAGTTGTGGCACATGGGCTTAATTGCCCGAAGGCATGTGGAATCTTCCTGGACCAGGGATGGAACCCATGTTCCCTGCATTGGCAGGTGGATTTGTAACCACTGGACCGTCAGTGAAGTCTTAAACCTTTTCTTCTTATTCTGACTTGATGAAAAGAACTGGCTAACTGTTCTAAAGAATAGCCAGTTTCTTTCTTTCTTTCTTTCTTTCTTTTTTTTTTGCGTGCTGGCTTCCTTGTGAAGTCATTTTACTTGTTCTTCTATCCTCTGTATTCCTGTAAACAGAAACAGGAAGATCTAACTAAAGGCGTGAGAGGAGCAAGTAAACCTTTTGGGCTGGAATACTTCATGGGTACTTCACGTTGCTTCATATTAGAATACATTTGTTCTGATATCTGGTTCATCTTCCGTCGCTGATGGAATTGGCCCGTGGGCAGTTAACTGGGGATTTGGGGGGCGCGGGGGAAGGGATAAAAGGTGGAACCGAATAGGAAAAGTGTGACTACAACTACCTAAAGGAAGTGGAATGGGGAACCCAGCCGGCAGTGCAACGCTAAGGTCATCCAACTGGGTTTCCCACACTGGCATCGCTCAGGTTGTGACCTACTGATATTTTCACAATGAGGGAAGGCAAAAAACAAAAACAAAAAGAGAACTTTGATGGGTCCTCCAAGACTCTCTAGGACAGGTGTTTTATAAAGGGAACATTTTCTTTTATAAAACTGAGCGGAGCTGGGCGGACGCGGTAGCCCGCTCACGGAGAGCCACTACCAGCATTCTCAGTATAACCCGGAGACATGACCTACAAGTTCAGAAACCCTACGAATAGGGAGCTCCCTGTGATTGCATCGGGCAATCTTTTCTTTTCTTTTCAGCAGGAGCCTCTTTCCGGCCTCCGGCCACCAGGAGGAGCTACAGTCGAGCAACTGTTCTTTAGGAACAGCGGGAACGCGTCTAGATGAATCTTGTCAAGCCCAGGGACCCGTAGCAAGGTATCGAGGCTGGATGAACCGTATTTCTGCTCTCTCGCGAGCATAAGTAGGCCTCACCCAGCCCTCCGCTCCAGGCTTCCCTACTTCCCGGCCCGCGTGGCGCCTCAGACCCCTCCCGGTGGCTCGCGGCAGGTGGCGCTGTCTGCGGCGTCGCAGCGGCCCTGGCTGCCGCGGTGACCACCTCCCAGCGGGCAGTGCGGCCCGGCTCTCCGGCGGCAGCGAGTGCCACGTCCCAAGTGCTACGCGGAGGAGCGGAGCGGACGGCGCGCGGGAGGCGGGGAGCAGCGCGGAACCCAGCCCGACCACACTGATCGCCCGCCGCCATGGGCTCCTCGCAGAGCGTCGAGATCCCAGGCGGGGGCACAGAAGGCTACCACGTCCTGCGGGTAAGGGCTTCGACAGCGGCCCGGGGGCGGCGGGCGGGAGGCGGGGCCCGGGTGCGGGGAGCCGGAGGCCCCGACGGACTTCTTCCCGGGGCAGCCAGGCCCGACCCCGCGAAGGAGCGGCGGTCGAGGGCGCATCGTTGGACAAGGCCGGCTCGGGAGGCCGCTCTCATCCTGCCTCCCTGGAGCGCCCGGGTTCCGCCGCTTTGGGAGGACGGGCTGGAAACCGAGGAGGCAGCAGGCGACTTGGCCGGGGGTAGCCCAGGCGAGAGGGCAACCCTGCCTCCTTTTTCTCTTCGCGGCCTTCTCAGCCCCCTCCCCTTTATTCTTAGCCCTCAAAGTTTGGGGGGGGGGTTCGGAGGGGGTGGGAGGAGCAGTCTGCTAAAGAGGTAATGGTGAAGGTAGCATTTGAATTCTCCGAGAAAAGGAAACCTGGAACAAGCAGACTAGAGGCGGGGAGTGAGAAGGCTAGTGTTAATTCACCTCAGCGCTGTCTGGATGGCCGGAAAAGCCAGTTAGGCAACGAAACGAATTGCCTCGAAATAGGTTTAACGGACTTAAACCTACTTGAGTTTCACTGGATTTCTCTCTCTCTCCTGTGTCGCTGTTGACCTTCCCAACCCTCCTCTTCCACATTTCTTGGCGGGGGCAACTTCCGTTCTCCTTTTTCCTAAGGCTGCTCAGGGTGTAGTGGATTTTAAGATTTAGATCCACAGAGTAAAAGGTAATGGAAAGGAACTTTAAAAAAATCCAAGTAAGTATAGGAAAGCAAGTTCAGTCACCAGGATGCAAAGAAACAGTATTTCGAAAGGCGTTTGCTCAGCCCCCGCTATGAGCAGCCTGGGTTGTACAGAGCTGATCCTTTCCTCAAGGAATTGGGAGTCCTTTCCTCAAGGAAGTGGCAGTGTTGGTTGTGTGCTGTGACACCTGCGTGAGTGATAACATGATGGACTGTTAACAAAGTGGCCCCAATCCGTGGTGCTATTTCAGAACAAAATAGAGTGTAAATAGGTCTCAGCTCCTCAGCTCCTCCCAGGCAAGAGCATTTTCACTGAAAGTGGGAAAGTGCACCTCCTAGTGCTGCGCTCATCTTCTGCCTTGGGTCCCATGTTTCAGGTGAGAGAACATTTCTTAAACTAAATTAGCAGACATCTGCTTAATGGCGCTGTGATTAATAACCTGTCTGATCTTCAGGATTATCACAGCTAGTTGTCCCTCCATTCTGCTAAAAATTCCTCTTGAAGCCACACTCTGGGTCGGAAAGGATAATTTTCCCAGAAAATAAAGGGAATCTATATATAAATCATAATACCTTCATGTTCCATTTAGCTAAGCCAGTCCCCAGGTGCCACACTGATGGGGGACATGGAAGGAGAATTGTCAGGTCCCAGATGTGAAGTGGAAGTTAGTGGCAGTATTTTTCTTTGTATTCTCTGGTTTGATTCCTACCTCTCTGCTGTGGGGTGTGTTATCCAGTATTAGGTGCTGATTGTGGCCATGAATCCCCAATGATAATGTTTTCTAGGTAAGGCACGGTATTAATGAGTGTTAAAAGTCTGTATGAAAGCTGTACACATAAAAAGAATACCAATTCGGTGACTTCTGTTACTGACTGCGTCGGATGTTAAACGATTTGGAGTGTTTTTTGTTTTGTTTTGTTTTTTAGATAGGTGTACCTCAGTAAATCACTCATATTCAGTCTGCAGGTGCAGAATTATTAGGGACAACCTTAGTTTCCAGTCCACATCTGGAGCATAAATGTTGCAAAAGATGAAGTAATTCTTCTTTCATTTGAGTTTTATTAGAGGGAGCTTTAAAAATAGTAATGATCATCTACTTAAGGAGTATTTTTTTAATGTTTCAGACTTCCTAACTCACTCTGCCCCATTCTGTAATTGGTTTCTTTATCTTTGTTTTTAGAGGAGGAAAGTAAAGTACTATGTTAAATCTCAAAATATAAAAATCTTATTTTCATTTGTTATTGCCTAAATTATGGTTGTATATTCTATCTCTGGATTAGTGAGCTTGTAAACCAGAGTAAATATGGCAGGATAATCATGGAATAAAATCACCCATGTTTAATAAGTTCTAGAATGGTTTAATTAAAAACTAGTTTTCTTTAATAATTCTTTGGCTGTTTCCTTGCTAGTGATAAAAATTTGTGTAAGTATGTTTTGAAATACCAGTTTATAGTGCACACATATTCACTGCTAGTTATTACGTTATTTTTAAATTGTATTCCTGCAATTCACAGATTGAACTTTCTGTTTTTTCCATTATTTTTCTATATCCGTTGTTAGATTCTGCTTTAAAAAAGTACTTAGGAGACAACTTTGAAATGATTCCAGATTTTCTCCTATGAATAATTTACTTTTTATCTATTATGTATTTATGTATTAATGCACATTTTCATGTTGTGATCATATTACATAGCCAACTCTCCATACTTAACCTAGAAGTGACCGATATAGTTTGTGTATCCTTTCAAAAGTGTTTTATGCATGTAAAACAGTCCACATCCCATCCGCAACTTTTAACTCTGCTTTCTTTTATAACTTAGAATCACGTGATACATACTGTTAGACACCCTGGTCTTTTAATTGGGAAGAGCATCTTCTCTGTCCTTCCCTAGCAGCACACAGAGATTGGCTTCTCACTTTCTCTTAGCTCGTTAGTGAATCTGTTGTAAAATAGTTTGGTTAAGCACCACCCCCTGGTGTCAGACACTTAGTTTTTCTAGTCTATCGTTGTTACAGGTATTTATCTACAACCTTAAATGGTACCTTTTATCTTCACTGAATTGTATTTCCCCATATCAGTGAATTCTAATGTCTATTTATAGGAAATTGGTCTCTGTTTTAGTAAATTAACATTGTTTTCTGATTATCAGCACATGTTTATTAGAAATCATTTGGATAAGTCCAAAAAGTTTAACAAAGAACCTCAATTACCTGCAGTCTCACCATCTAAAGGTAACTACTGTTAAAATACTCTTCCTTGTCCTTTTTTTTTCTGTGACTAACATTGCCCCTTAGCCACATTTCACGAAGACTTTGAGTAATTTAACGTATTTAAGTACATTACAGTATGGCTGAAAGTTACCATAGGATGTTAGCTTTACAACTTATCCAACAGCTGAGGAGCTGTTAAATAAATTATGGCCTAACTGCAGATTGGAATGCTGTGCATTCAGTGAAAATTATGTTTCAAAACACTCTGGGTTCATAGATGTGCCTTCACATATGTGTATTTGCATATGCATTCAAGTGCCCAGGAAAATGGAAAGCTAAAAAGCCAGGATATTAAAAGGATAATTGGTGGATGGCAACATTTTTATTCTTTTAATTTATTTTCCCAACATGTTCACAGTGACTGAAATATTTGTAAATTTTTTAAAAATATAGTTATAAAAATTATTTCTTTTAAGTGGACTACTAGTGGAAGATTTTAAAATTTGCTGAGAAGCTTCCTTTTAAAAATAACATTATAGGAAATTTCCTGGCAGACTCCATAAGCCACGTGGTATGCCCAAAAGAAAAAGAAAAGAAAAATAACGTTATATTTTGGATTTCTTTGTGGATTGGGTCCGATTCTGTGTTCACCATGCATACCACTTTTATTCCCATTCTCTAATCCTAACATAAGGCAGGAGAAATGTTAGCCAGGACTTCTCAGCCTTATTAGAAGTTACTACAGTTGAAGTAACTGTATTTACTAGAGAATTCTTGCCTAGATTTTCCATTATCAAGTGAAACCATCAAGGCCATTTTCAAAAATTTTGGAGTTGCTTTATGGGTGCCCCTTGTAAGATATTTCTAAATTAAAATATTCAAATTAATTCCACTACACTTCATACTCTTTGAAATGGGGGATATCTGAGGACATTCTGGAGCCAGTATTCACAACAGTATGGGGACATGGAAAATGTCATGTTCACTATTCCTTATAATTTCCTCTGAGAGAGATTTTGAGATGATGGATGTTTTGAAGGAAAGGCCATTGAGATGAATTGCGTCTCCAGTGTAATAACAGGCCTTTATCTTCTGAGCCATTTGCTGCATACTGGGCAGCATTAGGTATTCTCCTTAGAGGATAGAGGGACAGTAAGTGAAATTATTTCTATAGAAAACAATACCAAGACCATATCTACTGTTATATAGATGTACTCTTTCTTAATGTTACCTAAGTAATCTACATTAAATCCTGCAAGATTTCAACTTAATTCTTATTTTGAGAAAATGAAATCCCATTATTTGGTAGCCATAATTTTTTTTTATTCTAACACAGTGTTTAACTTTAACTTACACCTCCGTTTGAAAAACATAAAAATCTCACTATTAGCCCCTTCTCTTTTCACTCATTCTGAAAACAGTGGGTTATTTGATATTTTCCAAATATGTTCTTATAATTGAAAAAGCTTTATAAACACCATTTGAAGATTCTAACCTCCCAAAATTGACCTCTGCTAAAGGCTATGAATTGTTTCATTAACATATTTTGCTTTCAAATGTAGAATCAGAATACTTCATTTATGACGAATGTTTTATTTGGGCTTCTTTGGTGACACCAGTGGTAAGGAACCTGACATAAGAGATGCTGGTTCGATCCCTGAGTTAGGAAGATCCTCTGAAGAAGGAAATGGCAACCCACTCCAGTATTCCTGCCTGGGAAATTCCATGGCCAGAGGAGCCTGACAGGCTGCAGCTTATGGGGCCACAAAGAGTCGGACACAACTGAGTGACTGAGCACAGGCCACAGGGATGTTTTATTCGTTGTATGAAGTACAGTGTCGGTGAGCCTGAGGACACTTGCAGGAATTGTCAGTATCATTGAGCATAAACTTTCCCAATGTTAATAAGCCTCAAACAAATTAATACTGCCACATTGTTTGTATACCCTTATATATTTTTTATGATGAAGAGTATTCTTACGTATGGACTTAAGGATCCTTGTTTGGAGAGACCTGCTCTTGGTGGGTGATTATGGTTTTTGGCTCTGGTCAT